CGTGATAATTGGTGAGCCTGGTGCAGTCTGGATATTGCATCAGGGATGCAATTAAGGTGTCCTGGAATGTGAATAGCTTTCACATCAAAGTTGTACATAACAGACAACCAGAAGAGTTCACGCAGCACAGACATCACTAAATTGTCCTTTGATGTTCCCTTGTTTAGCAGATACATGGCTACTTTAGAGTCTGTGTGAATGATTATCATCTTGTTAGTCCATAACTGACCCCACCTCCTGGCAGCAATCAGAAACGTGATAACCTCAAGATAGTTTATATGTAGAGAGGATGCCGCAGGCCAGTCTGATGACCAATTTGTATAACACCAGTCACCTTGGTGATAAACTCCTGCTCCTACTCCACAGGCATCCATGTGCACATCTGTTATGGGAAGTGACTCCAAGAATAGAGCCTTCCCATTAAAAGTATCTAGGCACTGTATCCACCATTCTAAGTCCTGGTAAAAATGATAGTCCAGTTTTACCTTATGCGAAGTTTTGCGAAGTGTAGTCATAGTTTGTAAGATACGACGAAGGTAAGTTCTACCTCCTCTTACAAGTTGGGACGCCCAATTGAGCTTCCCTGCGAGTGACTGCAATTGTTTTAGGGAGGCACGACGCCGAGTGCGATACATAAGCAATGTTTGTTTTAAGTCCACTAGTTTTTCCTTAGGCAATTCCATAGACATACTGCATGATGATAGCTGGACCCCAAGGAAAATGATTTTTTGTACAGGTCCAATAACTTTTTTCCAACTTATTGCAAAACCTAAGTTACGCAATAACTGGATGAGAACTGTCATTGCTTCTTGAACTTGTTCAAATGTTTCATATACCACTAGAAAGTCATCGAGATAAACAATAGTGTTATGGTATCCTTTGCGATGCATCATTCGTTTTACTACCTTGGTGAGTCTATTAAAAATAGAGGGGGCTTTCCTTGAACCAAACATCAAACGAGTGTCAATCATATAAGTTTCATTCATATTTCCAGAAAATTTCCATTTTAGTCCAGCATAAGGATAATCCATTGGATGAATTCCAACTGCGCGAAATGCTTCACTCAAATCAATTTTTCCCATATAGCACCCTGGTGTTATAAGACTTACTGCATCCTGGAGTTTTTCATAATTACATATGTCTTTTGTTGCATAAGCATTTATCCCCTGGCCTGGAGGTAAGCTACAGTCATGGATTAAGCGAATAGAATCAGAGTTTGGTTTTTCAATTGCACCTAAAGGACTTATAATAACTGGTTTTTTGTCAACTATAACATATCGATTTTCTGCTAGTTCATGTTTGATTTGTTGTTCCACTTTTGAGTGATTGATTACAGTAACGGCAGATTTATGGTTGGGCCATGCAGCTGGGGTCGGTTTTGTATTGCTTGAGTCTATAATTCTAAATCCATTTTTAATTCCTCTTAATAAGAATTCTTTGTCATGATCAGATGATAATTCAATATTCCAGAAGTCATACTTTAAATTTCCTGATGGCGATAATGCAGAGGGGCTTATTAGTTTTCCTGGGGTGCTTTTTCTGATGAGGGGTGTTTAACTTTAGGGTGTTTACCTTTACAATCTGCGCAGATGTGTGCAAGGGACGATTCTCGGTTTGGAGAACTGTCTCCTGGGCTAATAATTTTTTTCATGAAAAATATAGAAATATTACCCAAATTAAACTATGAATATTCAAAAGAGGACATTTAAATCTACAAGATGTAAAAATAACAAATTGGTCTGAAGCAGGGATAACGCTCAATTAGACCGATTCAATAAAATACAAGTCTCGATTTGGGGAAAAAAGTTCATAAGTGTACTGCGCTAATATTTTTTTGCGAAAAATCTAGAAATATTACCCAAATTAAATTATGACTATTCAAAAAAGGACATTCAAATCTATATTATGTAAAAAAAATCAAATTTGTCCGAAGCAGGGATAATGCTCATTTAGATTGATGAACTTCGTTCTCCAAACCGAGAATCGTCCTTTACAGGTAGTGCGTGAGCACCCTACCTCGCTGTTGTAATCCTTGCAGGGGTATGGGAAAACTTGCGATTTTTGCACAGATACAGATTGTGTTGGGGGCTTATTTGCATACATGGTTTGCTTCCTTTTAAGGTGCTTTATATCCAAGTGACTGAGATCTGCTCCCCATGGGAAGCCATGTATATGTTGTGCCTTGCGGCATTCTCTGTCGAGGGCCAGGACACCTTGCCATTCATACGCAATGGCATGTTGAAATATCTTAACAGTATATGCTTGGTATTCCAGGACACCCTGTGTAGCAAGCTTTCCAGACTGCACCAGTTTCGCCATTATCCTTGCATTTGCGACAGCCCATTCAAAGGGTGATATCTTATCTTCTCTCTTCGAGGATTTTGACACAAGAATATTTTGATCTCCTCTTTTTGAAATCGATAGCTCCTGGTCGCTATTTATCTCTATTGATTTATCAATAAAATCAATTATTTTTAGCTCACCTACTGCTTTATCCTGTACAGGCGTCAGGTAAACCAGTGGGGAGATTGATGCGGCTGCCCCATGTACGGCGGTACTTGTCACGCTGCTATCCGGTGATTGTCCTATTTGAGGCATATGTGTACCGGGTGGGCCTTGTAACAGTTTTGAAATGGGTATTTCATTCATGGGCGATACATCCTCATTTACGGAAGGTTGGACTTTTGTTGATGCTATGTGCTTTTTCAAAATACATATGTCCCCAGCACGCAAGTTTAGACTCATGATAGCGTCAAGGTCCATTGAGTCTAAGGCCTCCTTCGAGGTAAAACATTCACTCCTCAGAGTTTTAACTGCATTTGATGATAGTCCAATATTATCGCAAAATTGCACAAGAATGTTTTCTCCAATCTCACAATCTTTCTTCCTGGATTTTGGAGGCATTTTGACAAATGATTTGTAGGTTTAATGTTAGAGGCTGGCCCTATCTGAGACGATCTGTTGCTGCATAATTTAAATCAAGTTTAATTAATTAAACTTACAATAAAACAGCATTTATCGTATTCAAAAGCGTTGAGCATCATTGATTCCCAGCCCTCTGAAGATTGAAAAATAAAAATACCTGGGTGTTAATCCATGGATTATCTTTGAAAATGAGAAATATATTTTTGGATTACATGGTGTAATCTTAAAGTAAACAAAATGTTTTAAAGTGTATTGATGTTTTTTGGATGAAAAACATAAGCGAAATTCATGAAAAAAATCCCCCGATTCATTCTACAAACAACTCGCCCTCCTTTCCATACGTGTTACATGGTAAGAAGTTTTTGTAAATGCCCTGATTTCTGTACCCATAATGTGCGTATATTAGTGGCTGAGCGAAGGATCGGAACATGGGCCCATGATCGGAACGGGAGATAAAGTAGCCACAAATCGTTCTACATTAGCCCCCCCCCCCTTCATGAAATGAACTATTCTTGGATGAAATGAAATGAAACTTGTACAATATTCAAAGAAATTAAGATCTTTCTATATTCTAAAGTAATATAGAAATCATATACACGGTGGTATTTATATCATATCGTATTAGTCGTCTGGTTTACATAATTAATACGTAATGAAACAGTCCATTTATGAAAAATAGTGACCTTATCATACGAAAATTCAGTTTATCTTTCACAGCAAGTTCCGGTGGCGATACTGTATTGCACACGCTCAATGGAATAGAATACAATGGCCAATAATCAAATTTACAATCGAGGTTCCGACATTTTGTTGCCGAAACGGATCCATTTCGGTAACTAGTTTGAAGAGGGCAGTACCAATATGCATGCTGGATGGACCCGGTGTAAAAGGGTAGGAGGTCCTATTAAATGATGGTCCTACTTTCCATTGAGTTATACGTATGGTAACCTAAATACAACTCTTTTCCTTATTATCGTATCCACAATCAGGGCTTAAGGGCATTTATAAAAGGGGACCATAATCACCAGGGGACCATAATTTCTTTCACACCGGGTGGCTGAATAACATTATATGTGTTTCAAAGTTCATTCAGTGCATTTGGAGATTGCAAATGACAGGTTTCATACTTCATCTATGAGAACTCCCAGGTGTAAGGCCATGTATTGTTGTATTGATATTTGATCAATAAAATCTTGTTATTTTGTTTGAATGACAATCAGCCATATCTTATGATACTCAGTTGTTTTCAAACCAGTTTTGAAGATTCTATTTGACAAAGGAGAGGCGTCTGCATTATGTCTATTCATTTTGCAGCATAGTATTTTAAAAACTAGAAGTATTTTAATTTTGTCATCTTACAATTTTCCTCAACATATTGAGCAAATACGATAGATGTACTTTTTTATTTATCATGTTTTATTCAATATGGTAAAATATAAAAAGAAGATTTCCAAACAAGCGACTTGTTAGTAGCCTACATTATACAGTGTCGCAGCTTGAGCTAAAAAACATTTATTCAAAGAAGAAAAGCAATCCATTTGATACCCTGCGTGCAGAGTCTAGTTAAACTAAGACGAAGCTCTCTTTTAAGAAGTGAAGTCAAACGAATGCAAAGGGTATCCATTTGATGAAGCAAAGAGTAAATAGATGTACTAATGTTGTATGAATATATTATACAAATACACGTTATTTTTTATTGCATTATCATTTCGGGTTTTATTTCTGTTCTTTCTACATTAAATTTGGTTATCAAGTCAAGGTTAAGACATCTCCCAGAATTCACTTTACATAATACGGCTCATGTGTGTGCATTCTACTGAGTTAAACTGGCTTGATTTATGAAGTGAATTATGGGATATGACTACCCTTCTGTGACAAATGTCCAAAAGTTAAGGCAGAATCAGATCTACATGTATATGGAGTGACAAAATTGACAAAATTGCAAGCAGTATGTACTAGAATTAATCATGTATCCCTTACAAGCTCAATATCTCCAAAAAGATCCGTTGTATGTATTTGTTAAGTTGTTGTATAAGTTGTTAATTTGATGAAGTTATATAAGATTCAAAGTGCAAAAATGGGGGGAAACATTTAAATTCTCCCAAATTATAAAAACAGTTTACCATTCTTATAGACAAATGATTGCATTATTGTAAACATCTTTAGTTTTCCACAAATAAAGTATACATTTCGGATTTTTTAGAAAATAGAAATGACAGGGAATGATATGAGCCCAAAATAATCTAAAATTGAAACATATCAGATTCGTCAAGATGAAGCACCTTGAAAGCCCACGACCAAAGAATTGCTAGATCTGATTCCGCCTTTATCGAAATGCCATTTGATTGGTGAACATCAGAGAACTGCATTACGTGGCACAATTAAGAACCCAAGATGTCGGAGTCGTATCCAGTCTGCACCCATTTGCATCTGCAGTGTCGACGTTTATAGCTTTTATCCTAGCAGCATCACACAGTATGTCCATGACATTGTCGCCTATCCTGGCTTGACCGCATATATGACATGGCTGTAAAGAACAATAGGATTTTTTGGTAGATTTGGTTCATTTAAGTTTAGAGTAATTGTTTCCAACAACTCTTGACCTTTGTGCTGTGATTGGGACACTTTGAGCGATGACCCTCAATAAGACGGTAGGCTTATTTTTTAAAAGTGTTTTTTTACCCGTCATAGTACATAACATATGCTACGACAGTCGCACAGCGTATTTTGAAATTGTAGACAAAAATCTTAATAAATTAATGAAAAGTATGAGCTTTCGATTGAAATGGGTCTACAAATTATAAAACCATAGAAAGAACAAGTAGTACAACACAAAATGGCTTATCAAGTAGTAACTATTCAAAAATGGTCGACCTAGCTACATACTGTAGATGTGATTCATTCATGTATTCTGTACTTACCTGTGCCAGTTTACTCTCAAGTGTAGTCTGACACTGTAAATGAAAATATATAATCATTATAAGCTTATTATAAACATGGTTAAAAAAAGAAATGCCAAAATCTAAATTTAATACATAGTACTTAATTCAATGCTATCGCTTCTACTGGAAATGTTTCTTAAATCACTGAATTAAAGCAAATGGTGTCCTATATAACATGCAAAAAAGCATTCAATTACAACCAAAATGCTATATACAAAGGTCGATCCAGAAGTTCTGATAAAAATGCTGTATCTTTTTTAAGTAAAGGAATGCACATAAAAGAACACGGGGCTCCTTCAAGGAGGGGTTTCTGGGTCTATCTTCCAGGTTAATAACGTAAATTACGACCGTATATATACGGGATATACCCAAGAGGTATTGCTCACCTTCATTGGTGGTAAACAAAATAAAATACAATAATATAATATACAGCAGGGAATTTTCAGAATGATTAATTGATAGTAAAACTTTCTGTAAAATTTTACACTTTTCCCCCGGGACTTTTCCTACCCCGTGGTAGGGGCACTTGGTCCAGGATTTTAGCTCATATTGTCGTCATAACTCATATTGAATATCTAAAAAACTAAATCCAACTGTGCAATCCTATTTAAGATAAAACTCAACGAAGATACTCAAAACAATGCCCTTCTGCAATAATACACTACATTAATACACCCTGGTATCTATCCACCCACTGTTCGTGCACACCTTTTCAGTTCTACAGGGCGTATCAAAAAAACGCAACAAGTTGTTATCTCGTAAAATCACAAAACTAGTAATGACTACATCAATTTCATTTAATGTACCATAAAGCCATGTCTCTCCTCTTTGCAATGATATGTCATTCATTCACATGTGGTAATGGTTGGGTGAGAAATCCTTCCATTTGCACAGTGGGTCAAAATCGGCTCTGCGCCAAGTTTTAGATATTGAAAAAATCAGTGCAAGGGCTAAGTGCCAATGGAAGTTCCTCTGACTTTAATTGTTGTGACTTTTCTTTTGGAGCTATCTCAGGAGCATCTGTGCTCACAATTCCTCCACCAGATATTGCAAAACCTCGAGAAAGATTTGCCCATGGGCTGCTTTTCTTTGCTTTAACCCACACATGATTCAGGGCTGAACCATGCATGACGTGGACAGATGAGTGCATCTTTATGTGCAAGGAAGTGGTGGCAATTTGGAGGGATATAGGATGTGTTCTTGCAAGAGTATGAGTATGAACACTATACTGTCTATGCCATACCTGTACCTGTCACACCTTCTTCCAATAGCCCCTATGCCCCTTGTACTGACTTTTGCAATGTTTTAAACTTGGGTCCGAGCTGAATTTTGCCCCACTTAGCAAAATTAATGATTATTCGGCCAGAGATGACTCCCTGTGAATGAATGATATTCTATTGCAAAGAGGAGTAATTTGGCTTTTTGGTACATTGAATTAAAAGGATGCAGTCAGCATTGGTTTTATGTTTTCGTCCAATATTGCATCGGGCTCCGTACACTGACTTTTGCAAGGTTTGTAACTTGGCCCGAAGCTAATTTTGGCCCACTTTGCAAATGGAATGATTACTCACCCAACCATGACCAAATATCAATGAATGATATATCATTGTAAAGAGGAGACACGTGGCTTTATGGTGCATTGAATGAAATCAATGCTGTTATCACTGGTTTTGTGCTTTTCCAAGATAACAATCTGTTGCGTTTTTTTGATACGCACTGTAGTGAGGTGTCGACAGCATTCTTGATTTCAACAAATGTTCTAAAATATGAGACACTCGGATCACTCTGTTTAGGGCCGGTCAAAAGTCCAATCACAACAAAGTCCAAGGGGCATTATCTGGGAAGTATGATTAGCCTTCTGTCTTAATACGTACATATTTAACTTGTTGCTGATAATATTGTAGATCATGCCAGATTTTAGCACGATGTGTTGTCCTAGTCAAACATGATTGAATCTTTGGCACTGTTCGGTTGCTTTTTTTAATTGCTTTACCTAGATGAACTGAAAGCTTAATTTCTCATGTCTTGTCTAATGTATCATGAAGCATTCATGTTTTCTGTATCAAACAGGGTTCATAATGACTTCACACTTATGAGAAGAGGACATTAACAACAGTTACTGTTAAAACAGACATTTATAAAATTATGTAACCTCGTAAGTGGGTTTTGATCATTTTTTCAAAAGAAACCCAATTTTAAACTACACTAGTTTACCCTGTCCCGCTATAGTGTTATTGAGGTTACCATAGCAACCATAACTTCAGAAATATTCCTTACCAGCATTTTTATCAGAACTTCTGGATCGACCCTTGTATATCATTAAACTATTACTACAGTCAAAATTGGTCTATCCAGCAACATGGGCTTATTTCATTCATATTCGTCTTACCTGTGTCAAACTACTGTTAAGCGTCTGTATTTCATCTGCGTTTGTGTCTACTGTAGTCTGACACTGTAAATACCATTATTGAGCTTACTTTACCATAGGCCAAAGAACATATACTGTAATTGAGTTTTGGAGGAGAAAATAGTTTCTCTGAGGGGGCCCAGACTCGACATTCTATACATTTTTTCGGGCCTACGTTTCATATAATCTCGGTGAACCAAGTACAACTGGCATAAGGTGGAAACAATTCAATATATTCTTGGTTAATAAATCCTACATCATGCCGATTTCTGTAAGAGTATTCCACATAAGAATATTTAACGGACTAATTTTCTATTTGTAGAATCTTTATCAATCGTAGAAAATGATATAATATTGAATATACAAATAAACTTTCTGTTAAACTGAGTTAATTATCCGTCAATTTTAACTATTTGGCCACACTGAAAATGTTTAAATCATTCAGTAAAAGGTGGTCTGTTATATAAGAAGGTAAGGATATTTCAGTACCAAAAACGAGTACAACTTGCGTTTCATTCTTTTATACTTACCTCTGCTAGATTTGTGTTCACTGCATCGATTGCAGCCTGACTCTGTAAATATAACATAATTTAAATCGCTTATTTCCAATCATGGTGTATCAAATAAACGAGTTTGTCTTCCCGATTTCAGTCCTAAATTCCTACGTCAATATGGCGTGCAAAATGTGGGTGGACGTTGTCTTTCCTGGTTATTACGTATTACGTCTCAGGAAACACATAGTTCGAGTACTAATGATCTTGATCGGACATCGTAGTGCAGAGAAATTGTTATTTTACTGATTGGGTCCAGAAAAAAATAAACACGTTTTTGACTTTTTGCCATTTTAAATCATTCAATTAGAATTTAATCTGAATGGGCAATTTTGATTGTTGAATTGGATTGTTGAAAGTTGGAGCCATTTTGGTGGAATTTCTAGTTTTCTGTCACTCCGAGTATTTAAGGAAAGCCATTTTACACTAAACGAAACAGATAAATGTCAGCTAATTCCAGGGAAATTACGACTCGTCATTTTAAGTAAATAATATACCTCCTGTGCTTCAGTCCTGAGTTTTTCAATTTCGGCCTTCAATTCCTATAATAAGCAAGGCATCAATTATAATTGTAGTGTTAAATTATAAATGTAGTTTTATGTAGGTTTTCAACTCTAAAGGATGGGTCAAAAATTTCCATATTTTATTCCGCTATATATTAAATCTTGAAGCATTGTGATGCTGATAAGCTAGAGTATTGCTACCATGCAATAAGGAAGAGTTAATGAACCATTGGATTTGTTCAACATCTTGAAAGCCCATGGTCAAATTCAGGGTGAAATATCAAATATTCTATTATAACAAATAAACTCTTGGAATAAAATAGTTTTTCCTGCACAGGTAGATTTTTGAAATCATATTTTTCTTGTTGCTGGTCGAATCAATAATAAAATCATAGATCTTTGGCAGTTCAAATATTATTAAAAGTTTCAAGTAAATCAACTAAGCTTATGTTTACTCTTATCTTGCGACCCATTCTCCATCTACGTCCCCATTTACGGCGTGATTCTGTAACGGCCACAAGAGCTATCAGCAAGAGAACTACAACCAACTTCATCTTAGATGTCTATCTGAAACTAGAATATATCAGTGTTAAATATACATTTTGAAGTTTTTTATGCTAATCTGTACATATCTCATTTGAGCATTGAGAGTAACAACGGCCAATAAAATCAAATGCAACCACATAGCGCAAATGGGTTTTCCTGAACTAAAATAAGCAATATTGTCAAATAATGTCAAATACAAATATTATCTGAGGTTCTAGCTATGCGTTTTCCTGAAACTAACAGTCGAACCTAATGGCGACTGCAAGAGGTAAACGTGGCACACTTATTAATACAGGGTGGTCCAAAAATGTGAACTGCTGCAATGGGCCATATTTCCATTATTACCTGCAGGAATCCTTTCATATTTTCACATGTTGTAGAGAAAGGTCTAAATTTTCATACATTCGTCTTAGTCTTGAAATTTGCAGAAATTATAAGCCCTTACCAAATATTACTGAAAGTGGATAAAATGTGAATTTCAACGAACTTGATTTTACAAGCCTTCAACACCCGTCCCCTGACAACTTTTTAGCCGCAGTCTGCCGACCTTGTTTGGTTCTGAATCCTGCACATTATGGTGTAAAAACTAGCATCCTATCTGCGTTAGTTGCAAAGTTATTGTGATCCAAAAAATGTTCTTAGTTTCCACCTTGGAATAGGCCTATATACCTTTCTCTATATTGTTTTAGAAAACACATCAGACACTTCTTTTGTTCTTGGTATCATATATTTGGAATGAAATGAAACATCTATCCGAACCTTTGGAACAAAACGACATTAAGACGACGTCTTTAGGTCTCTCAATATTGTAATTGTACAGAGGAAACTTTGGTTGATTTTAAAAACGTATCTTGTTAATGAAATAAAAGGTCTATTTCGGGGGAGGTTGTTTTAACTTTTGGATACATTTTGTTAAATCATGGGCTTTCATGAAACCCCATAGTTAAATCAACCAAAATTTCCTTTGTATAACTATAATATTGAGAGGTCTAAGAAAATGGTGTATATACTATTTTGTTCCAACGAGGTTGTAACGAGGTTCGGAAAGACATTTTACTTCATTCTCAAGAATTGGTACAGTAGAAAGGAACAAAAGACAATTGCACTAAAAAACGAAAAATGTTAACAAAAACAGTTATATAAAAATATATAAATAATGTTCGAATTAAATTGTTGTCAATCAGTCAACATAACATAAAGGACCGTGTTTTTTAGAAAATGTTTTCAATAATAGGTTTAAGAGAAAACCATTGTTGAATTCAGTTCACCATATCGATACTTATCCTTTCGGTGAGCCATTTAATTGACCCACCTGCCTCATCACCAATATATTTAAATTTCACTTACCGACACTCACGCCAATTTACTACTTGAAGACAAAATGAAAATCTCTCTTGATACGCTTGCAACTCAATATTTTTAGTTGCTAACAAATGAACTTCTCCGATCGCTGATGTTATAGATTTTATCTAAAATTATCTTAAATGTTATTTTTGAGGATGAGCCATAATCAATATATATGATTCTGTTACATTGTTCATCAGATTGAGCTTCAGTTTTCAAATATTCCTTAAACCCAAGTACACAATGCGTTTCTGTTAGGCACAATACCTAAATTACATTTTTGTAACCCGTGCCTTTGAAACTTTTTTTAATAATCAATCATATTTGCATTGCTGATTCGTTTCAATCTTTACTTTTAAAGTTGTTTTTCCCTTTCCGAAAAGTGAGCTTCATTCCAAATGTGTATATTTTTAACTACTCACCTAAATCAACTCGATCGATCTGCAAGTTATTTCGCTTTGACTGAGTTTTATGAAACAGCACATTTTTAATTCTCATGTTTTTTAAAAACAATACAATATCGAGTTTATTTCATAAATCTTACTCTTAACACTATCCAACAACTCAAGTACGCGTCACTTTACACGCGTGTTAAAACGTTTGTATAACTACAGTTTAACCATTGAACTTAAATAAAGTCTATACTCAAATGAGACAATGAACACCTAGGTGAACATCTAGCATTGTGAACACATTTTCTTCCAGTCATCGTTTCCGTTAATTCCTGCCCGTCTTTACTCCCGATGCGTGTCTGAAATCAAACGCCCCAAGAACCGAACAATGAAAACCAGCTAAAAAATCAAAGTTGCATATACCGAAACATTTGATCACGTATTCATAAGATTCATCCCTGGGAATTCAACATCTGACTTGGCGAGCTTTTTTTAATCATTCTAGTTTTATATCATAAGATCGAATCATGGATATTTATAATGATAGACAATGCTCAACGGATTATACAAAAAGCCCATCTCCCTTTCTACCTGACAACTCTATGACACCGTGCTCACTTCATAAATGCCAGATTCTAAAGTAGCTGTCACGTTAGTTGGTGTGTTCATCGCTCTTCAACGTGTGGCTAATGCCTGGGTCACATTTGCGCTGATCATCGGCCAGCGCCCGGCCGATTGGGTGTTTTGCTCAATATTGTATTCAATTTTGAACAAAATACTCAATCGGCCGGACGCCGTAGTGAAAATCGTAGCAGATGTGACCCAGGCATAAGGGGTGATGGAGGATATCTTACTGTTTGCTGTTAAACTATTTGTTTTACCCATCATGCCCCGCCGTTTAACCCAAAGTATTAACACAGTGGCAAATGTCGATTTCTGGGGAACCACTGGGGCTTGGAAATACAAGGGGACTTTTAGGGGACCACTGTGGCCTGGAACTACTATGGCTTTTTATGGAACCACTGGAGCCTGGAACTAATTGGCCCTTTAGGGGACCACTGGAGCATGGAACTACCAGGGCAAACTGAAAAGATGGCTTACTAACGTATCACCTGTCGGTATTGCAAATGGCAAATTTCATTATTTTTGTGCATAAGTTGAAGATACACAAATAGTTCTAATGTAAAACTCCAAAATTGTTCGCGATACACTACGTGGTCATTTGTGAGGTTTTCAGCCGGGTTGGGGGGGGGGGGCGATCGTGGCAAAAACGAGCAAAAAATATTTGTTTTGAATTTTACAAAAATTGATGCAAGTTTCTTCAAAATTGAGCGAGAAGCTTCAAATAAAAGCATTTTAAAGCTCTTCTTCCTCTATCCAATGTTTGTATTTTTACATTTTTTTTTTGGGGGGGGGGGGGTAGCGTTCGCACCCATTGCACCCCCTGACTGGGCCTATGCCAGTACCTTACCTGTATCATTCCAGGATACGACGATTCCATATAATTTTGAAAAATATTTAAACGTGAGAATTGCACATTTAGACAAGTGCACTCTACTTGTTGTTATACACCGTGATTCATTAAATGAGTAATGTATTCCTGGAAATAACATGTGACTATAAAGACGGCTGCATAAAGATTCCAAAAAGTACACATCTCCCTTACACCAAAGGACCTTATACACCCTCCATTGGGATCTCCCCATGGGAAAAGAATAATTCATCTGATTTTTCAAAATGAGTATTCTGCTTCAATTATTACATTTATATGCACACTAGTATCTTGTTGACATATATTCAGCACTGTATTGATGTATAGGCCACTTATTAGGGTCATAATTCAATCATGAAGTGTAGAGGCATAGATTCCAAACCAGGAAGTATTTTTGTGTCTGTCAAAATCCATTTACATTCTACGCATCCCTGCATCTTATCCGAATATGTTACTACATAATGAAATATAATAGTATAATCTTTGGTTTTACAAACTTGTATGATATTTGATAAGTGTAAAAGTTGTTTTTGGAGCATTTTTCTATAGCCATTTTGTTATTTGTAGGGAAAAAAATGATGAAAAATGTACAATCTTTTAATTCTTAGTATGACCTGAATCGATTGCAAACTTCATATTTGCACATTTGATGAGATAAACCATTTGTGTCGTATTGTGAAATTATTAAGTTTGCAATCGATTCAGGTCATAGTGTATTTTTGGTATTTCTGTGATAATCAATGGAAACCAATGGCCTCTATTGGGATCTGCTGATATCCTAATGTTAAGTCAATGGTGCACAGCCCCATGTAAGTCAATACAACCTTACTGAACGAAATGATCCCTATCTCAGCTTATGTGTGTCCGAGCACTTTAATATTTTCCAAAGTATTATATGACATTTTATTCTTCATGTTACACATACGAATGATTCATTTTGACCATAGGGATATTTGCCAATAATTGCACCTTGTCCTTTGAACATATGTTGGCTAGGTATACTAGGTATATAGGCTCATCTGACATTTTCAGTACATTTTCAAAAAATGCCAGATCTGCAGGATATAGCTTTAGTCTAGAGTCAATTTGCAGTTGATCAGATACTATAATTCTAGTATCTGAACACATCCTTTAGAGGGATACATTAGCGATCTGACTGTATAGTGAGACTGTAAGCTACAATGCGTGTGAGCTTAATAAGTCCCTACCTCTGAAGCCGACGCCTAGATTGGAGAATTATCCAAAAACCATCGTATTTAGAAACCAAACGTGTATACCTTCTCAAAATATTCTGCAATTTTGTCGTTTCTACTGAATGGGTGTTGATAACTGCCAACACAGTACATGTCTCTTCAATTTGCCTGTTAATATAATTTGCTCTAAAAATTGAATACTTCAATCTTTGATTAAATCTAGTTCAATCTTGAACGAATATTTAAGGACCTCAATGCAACACACTATAATGTAAGCGGGCTTCTGGGCGCAAGGATCTTGGAGTTGCTCTTTTAGCAAGGATGCATTAAATCATTATGTAAGTCAGGTTCTGATTGGTTCATAATTTACGGCGCTAAAAATAAATTCGACGGGCGTGAAGCTGTTTCTCAGCCCGTGTAAAATAACCGTCTTAACGCCCGTAATTAATAATTTTAACGCCGTAAGTTCACGCCTGTAAATGTATTCTGAACGCCCGTAGAATTTACTTCTTCACGGGCGTAATTTACCCCTACACACGCGTAATTTTTCGTCTGCACGGGCGTAATTTTACATCTGCACGAGCGTAATTAACGCCTACACACCCGTTAACTACACGTGCATTCTTTGGGCGGGTAAGCTTACCATAGATACAGTATATATTCCCACACGTTATTTACCTAGAACCTTAGTAGGTATGGAATATAATGGACTATCCAATTAGGCCTATCAAATCCAATCGAACATCTAATGACTGTCAGATGAATGTCAGATACTGTACCCGGCCAGACAAGCCTGTAGAAATCATGCCTGAGTGTCAGACAACACTGTTAGAAAGCATGCCTGAATGTCAGACAACACTGCCAGAAAGCATGCGGAGTGTCAGACAACCGGGCAATCAACAGGGTTGGAAATCATACCTGATAGAGTGGTAAAGTGTAAGACAACATTGTTCGAAATCATGCCTGGCCGAGTGTCAGACAACATTGTTCGAAATCATGCCTGGCCGAGTGTCAGACAACATTGTTCGAAATCATGCCTGGCCGAGTGTCAGACAACACTGTTAGAATTAGAAATCATGCCCGATCGAGTGTCCGACAACACTGTTAAAAAACGTGCCTGGGTGTCAGACAACGTTGTTAGAAATCAAGTCTCAGGCTTTTGAAGGGGACCGTACTTAATATCCATATAATGTCCTGCATACCTTATCATGAGGAAATCTGACATTCTATATTATGATACGGTATTCTCAAAATCAACCGGTGTCATGTAAAGTTACCGTAAAAGTTGAAATTAACCAATGTAGACACAAGGTATACTGTAGATACGTCACCGTATTACGTTACTAAAATGACCTGTCATTTAGACACCGCACTATCTCATTATTCAAACTCATTATAAAGGGTAATTTTACATGACACCGGTGTACCATCTAGGCTAATTATTAGGAGGCCCCAACGGGGGGCCTCCTATTAATTCAAGAGGTTAAAATGTGTAACGGGTTTCTCTTTGATGCAAGTTAGTACAGAGCTTCTTCATTGTGATATAAATCCTACATCTTTTTCTTTTTGATATAGCCTACCAGGCATCTATTTTTCCTTTTGATGTATTGAATTAAAAGCATATATACATACATGTGTTAAATGCATCGTTTTTAATATTAACATACTGGGTCGGACACAATCTTAACCTCTTGAATACCAGCCTCTAAAAAGGGTTTGAAACCAGAGCATTTTTCATTTTCTGCTAGTTTTCTGGATATTTACATCTGAAAACACTATGTTTGATATTTGATTTCATAAGAAGAGTAAACATAGACCCATTACATACATTCTAAAACATTAGTTGTGAAGATTGGATAAAAATGCCAAAGTTAGAGCAGTTTTAGTGAAAAATTCTGTGACAGATATATCTGTCGCTCTGGGTTCCAAATGGATTTTATTTGTGACAGATATATCCGTCATTCTGGGTATTCAAGAGGTTAAGGTGGAAAACATAGTTCAAAATCAAGATGTTTTAATTGAATGAAATAAACGTACTCGTAGCATTTCCCCAGTTTTCACTTTTGTGAAAGTGCGGACGCACCTCAAGTTGTTTACGTTATTGAACAGTTGAAGAATTCACAGGGCCCTTCTTACAAGTAAGGATATGTCTGAATGCATCCCGGTAGTGTTTACTCCTAAACAGATAAACAATTGGATTTGTGAAGGAGTTACACATGACGATGGTTCCAGTGATGAAGATACTTTGTCCACTGACATTTTTGGGGTTGATAGAGTAAATTGACAAGCACACGGTGAATGGTGTATAGCATAAAATAAAGGA